ATCAGTCTTGCAGACAGCCTGGGTTTCTCAGGATAACTATGGAGACTTCATCTGAAGAGAAAGACGTTAGTGGTGATTTCTTTGCCCAAATTCATCGTTTGGGTTTTACAGATAAGAGCGCTCCAAGATATCAACCTCATGAAAGCCCCCTGACCGGGAGGAGGGGTTCAGGGGTGTCTTATTCCTTGTGCTGGCCTCTGCTCAAAAGTTCATTTTACCCTTTAAGCATTTCTGCTATTCAAGGAGGTAGCCGCTCTCTCGGTGTGAAGCTGTAGGCTATTAAATTTTTCATGTCAGGTTCCCAGCTCGAAGCTACTCTCCACTCTCCTAGCTGCAGATGAGCTGTTTATGGTGGTGTTTCCTGGCTTTGCTTACCCTTGCTGGACAGGGAGGGAACGGCTTGTGCCCCAGACAGGCACGGTTGCTTGAGATGGGAACCCGTGGATTTCATCACCTGCTGTTATAAATGGTGTTGGCCTGAGCTTCGTGAGCTTCATTATCTTCATCAAGTGCCAGAGCCAGAGAATGCACCTCTCGGGGGCTCATGCCACCCAGCCTGCCAAAGGTCAGACAACAGCTCTGCTGGGCCACTTCCTCTCTGCTCTTTCAAGACATCTTTGTGTGCAGGATCTGTTTGTGCCTATGTGATTGGAGTGTATTATCTTTTCAACACATTTATCAAGGTCCCAAGAGGTTCAAATAGAAGGAAACCGACTGTCTCAGGGCAGAAAAACAAGCGGAAACTGGAACAAAGTGTTTTTTCCTCAAAGCAGGAAGCCATTCGTGGAGTTTCTTGACAGCAAGGGACTGAAAGACTGTGGAGTTGATGTAAGGCCAATGCCTCGTCTTCCTATCCCTACCAAGATATCATGGTTAACCGATAATAAAGTGATTGGAAAATTCTTCTTCCCAGGCAGGGAAAAAAACAAGTACAATGAGCCAAAACCTTTCGCATTTGCTTAGAGAGTGCATCTGCTATGGACTTAGCATCCATAGATGGCATTTCCAATCCTTTACCTTCTATATGCAACAGCAGGTTGAGGAATTGTGTGACAGAGCTCTTCCTAACGCTGATAAACTGATGCTACTGGTATTGAGATGTTATTAAGAGTGGCTCACCCGCAACGCCCAGTGCCAGTCTCCAGCAACCTGCTTCACACTTGATCCGGTGATGTATCCCAAGCCACTGCGAGCAATACAAAGGTGAGAGTTAGTCAGAGCTTTACCAGAGTACCGCAATCACAGCTGCTCTTACGCAAAGATAAAACGAGGCACAATCAGCTGTGTGTCCTAGGCACTCTTCTCCTGCAGGAAGAAACACGGGGATGAAGCGGATGGTGGTTCATACTCTCCCCAGCACAGCTGATCTAAAAATGCTCCAATCTGATGGAAATTCAGACACTGGTCTCAAGTTTATAGCTGGCCTTTCAATCTGCAGATAGAAACAAAGCCTCAAAAAGAATTTATTTCCCAATTCAATTTCTACATCAGGCCTTTCTGGGCAGTAATACGAACACTTAACGATTTTAGGTTGAAGCTCTCAGTTAAGAAGTGCCCTTCAAGGACACACACCATATTCTATCATTAAATTTTTTCTTCTCATTTAATACTACTTGGTTCTATTTACCCACAAAGAGACCATTTGTCATAAGCTTATAAGAAAAACAACAAGAAGAATATTCAAGACAGCCTGATGGGAAAACATCAGACCTGAAGCTGGTAAATCCCCTCTGAAGATACAGGAGCAGCAGGACCTTTGGCACGCGCTACGAATGACACCGCAGTAACGAAAGAGACTGGATAAATGGGACCAGAGCCACGCTTCTCTCAAAGTGAACTGAATGGCTGTGAATATCCTTTTTACAGACCTGCTGCATTTGTTGCTGACATTGCTTTGGCTAAAAGTTGCCAGGACTGCTGCAGGGTGGCTGTCAGCCGTCGCACGCCTTTACCGAGCAGTCTGCCAACCTTTGGAGGCTGCCATCTATAATCACCCCGAAACAGAGCTTTTTACACAGACCTAAAATCAAACTATGGATCCACACCTCTGTTGGATAGTGGGATAAGTCCCAGAATCAGGCTCAACAGGATGAATATTTGTCACTTCTTGCTAGCCACAGTTCACTGAATTCTCTGGGTAAGTAAACGGCGTCCTTGGTCACCAGTTAAGGACTTGGCTGTTGCTTTTTCCCCAAGAGTGTTTATGAGTTTTATCTCAGGGATAAGTGCTCTAACTTGTAAAAGGCACCACCCTTAGCCAGAGGTTTTTCCCTGAGCTGGGGGGGATTAAACTGCTTCCCACGTTTTCCCTGCTGTCAGTGAACCCATGGTGCCACCTTTGCACAGGATGTTCTCCAGCGCTGGGAATCGGTATGTGAACCATGCAAACCCACCCTGCCCACAACTCACAATAGAGGGTCAGCTGTTATTTTGGAAAAATAAAAACAATTAAGAAAAAAAACAACCACAGATTCCCTCCTGTCCCAACAATCAGACAGTGCACTGGGCTGATAAAGGAGCTCGATTGAAAGAATGCACCAGAGGAAATAACTGCTCCAGATCCGAATCTGTCTCTTGCTTTCAGCAGGCATCTATGTGTTGGCTGTCCTCTGCTGCTCTGGGTTAAGAGTGTGAACGATCATCACAGTTTCTGTCTTCAGCCTTCCCTACACTAGCCTTCACAGCTTCTCCTAATTGCTGTTTCGGTGTTAACAGCACTAAAATGGACTGGGCGCTGCTATCGCGACTACCAACTCAGATCGGCTCAGCCGCATTTTCCGAACTGAGTTGGACTGGCCAAATTCAAGGTTGGGCAGAATTTGAGCTTAAATATTTTTTAAAGTCAAAATTTCAAGTTGTGTATGTTATGTAGCATACTCCTCTTGAGCCCTCCAATATTTAGACTGTCACACAGAAGCAGGTACCTATTTGCTCACTTTTGAAAACTCAGCCTGGTGTCTTAAGAGATCTTGATTTCACCATAACCTGAAAGACTTTGCCTAAAGAAAGCCTAGACCTCACATGAATCAAAGTCATGATTCCAGAGAACAAATAACATTATTCAAAAAGATAATTTAATAATGCTAAAAAAAGTCAGATAAAATATTTTTATTCTACTTCTACCCCACTGCTGTAAAAAAAAATAGAAATCCTTCCCACTAATTCCCAAAAGTCACACATGAGCCAGTAACAGGGTTAGAAAAAGATCCAATTCCTGCAACTAATTAGTCACTGCTCACAGTATTTTCCTGTCTAAAGGAAAATAAAGACAGAAGAACTATCAGCTTACTTTAAGAGAAAAGCCAAAACCAGGCGAAAGACACATTATATCACTTACCTGCCCAGAGGAATTGCGAAGTAGAAAACAGACAGCATGAGGGTCCTGGTGTTTTTGGTGAAAAGGTCTCCTATGATGGTCGGTGCGATGGTGGAGTAACTCGCTTCGCCGATGCCAACCAAACCTCGGGAGAGCACGAGAAGCCAGAAATACTGCGAAAAGGAAGAAAACACCTTAGCGGGTCTACCCTTGTCTTTTGGAATTCAGGATGGGCAGCAGTGAAAAAGGGAAATGAAACCCACGGGACTGGAGAGCGAGCCCCTTGGGTTTGTTTTTTAAAACCTCAAGCTACTTCACTTGCCTCTTGCTGGGGAGGAAAGGGTACTTTTTGTGAAGATTTATAGGAATGAGAGAAAAGCATTAATAACACGTGTGTACCCAGCGACACTCCAGAAGCTATTTCCAACACAGACAGAAGAGCCCCAGTTTAGTCTCAGGTCGCAGCTCACTCTTGTCAAGCCCAAGGGCCAGCAACTCTGCTCTGACAGGGGAAGGTCTGGGGGGTGGGTGAGTAAAACAGCCCCCCCCCAAAAGCAATACCTGCCAGGCACCATCCCAACCTCCCCGGCATGCCAAGGGACGAGTTAAGACGGCTGAAATCCTCAAGGCTCTTCAAGGCTGTGAGAGTTGAACCCGCAATCCCCCAAATTCCAGTTTTTTTTTTTTTTCCTTCATTAGAAGCTACGAGATAAGAGAAGTTTTCCAAAGGTGCTAAGCAGCTATCTCACTCCTCTTTCCTTGAAAAAACCCATCAACCTCCCCCTCACAGCAGGAAGGCAGAGCAAACCAACTCTGAACAGTTCTGGAAAACCTCAGGTCACAATCCCAGCTGAGATGCACAGTTGCGGGGAGGTAAGACTTGAGCTTTACTGGGAACCAGAGGAACATCCGTGTGCTCAGTACGAGCAGCGTGACCAGGGGAACGGTTCAGAGCCAGGCAAGGCAGTGGTCTGGGCTGCCAAAGCATTCAGCGGCCCAGAGAATTACTGTGAGCACGGGGAAAGCTATTTCTACAAATGCAACCTCGACACATCCTGAAGTTCCTGTTGTTATTCTGTAGTTGGCAACCCAACCGAAGGAGGAGATGGACTTCACATTCGGCACAGCACAGCCTAGGGTGGACAGAAGGGAACCGTTCATCTCAGAGAATGTTCCTCACGGCCCGTTGCCCTGTTTCAGCAACACTTTGGGAAACTGCAAGGACGTGATT